AATATTTAGGTATGATGAATCAGCTGGCCTCGACGAATTTCGTCGGTACTCTGTCATGATAATACCGTTTACAGTCTCAATAATAATAATAATAATAATAATGCCAATATGTAACGATGCCAATATACATAACTACAAAATCAATTTATGGTTGGAAAGCAGACGTTTAAAAATCAAAGACAGAGGCATTTATAATAGCTGCACAAGACCAAATCTTATTCATCAAGCAAAGTTATTGAAAATGATACAGACCCAATATGTATATTGTGCGAAGAGGCTATTGACAACGTAGTGTCAGTTTGTCCAGTCCTGACATCTAAGTAGTACAAAAACAACTTGTTAACACATATTAGTATTATGAAGGAAATGTTAGTATTACAGATGCTGGAAATGGTATGAACATCATTCTGAACAATCATAGAAGACCATGGAGTCGTTATTCTTTTAGACTTTACCATTTACACTGGCTGAGCTATAAAAGCTAATAGAACAGACATTGGGATTAAAAAATAATAATAAAAATTCCATCGCATATATACGTCAGTGACATCAGATAAAATATATATACAGTAATATTATCCAAATTTTCTAACAGCATAATTGCCCATCCTACATTATGTTTAATATCTAAACTCTACTAAACTAATTGAGTTACTTTTTTTTCTAGGTTTTCAGATAAGACATTCAGACATCCTGATAGCATTTGTTGTAAGACTCACTGAAAAACTGTTTAAGTTATTCAGCAAGAAAAAGAACAGGTTAAAATCGTCTTGTGTCAGGCCCACTATGTCTTCTCAAATGAGCAATGGTGAGTGGAAAAAATCACTCAGGCCTTCAGTAATGATACCAACATTCATATTATGGCTTCCATCTTCAAAATCCATTCAAGAACCATCAAGAGAACTACGATTAACTTTATAATATAGAGGAAAACTGGATCAGGAGGTCACTTCAGGAAGAGGGATCATCATTTCAACTTAGAGCTAAATACATTCATATTGCTCAAAAAAGAGTTTACTAGTGTTATAAAAACCCCGGAGAATTCCAGTAAGATGTCTTTAATCATTTCTAAGATACAACGGTCCAGAGCTTAATCTGACAATTGGACAATTTCGCTGTTACACCCGGTATATGTTAAAAATATGACAGAATATATAAATATAAGCATCTTGAGATTGAAATTGAAAAAAAAAATGTGCCAACTTAAAATGTATGCGATAGCTATTATAATCGGAGCCCTAGGTACCATAAAAAAACTAGATAAAAGCATATTAACAAGATTTCTGTTTACAAGATATTCAAAACATTCTACTATGTGAAACTGCTCATCTGTTCAGGAGAAAATATAAATAATGTATGTTTTAAGTATTATTTGATATCCGAATTTGTGCAAACAAAATGCATATATTTATTACTTTGCCTGAGTCTACGTTTCGTTCGAATATTTGGGAAGTATTTTAAAATAGAATGAACACGCAGTGGACTAGTGAAAGAAATATTTCAAAAGCTAAGCAAGGTACTGAGAAACGGAAAATAAAACCACATAAGAAACAAAGGGAAAAGTGCTGGATCGTGAGGTGATATCCATCCCCTTATATGGCAATGACAATCTCCTCACGGATGAGGAAAAAATTGTAGGCAGCAGAAATGTGGTTCTATAGAAGGATACTGAAAGTTCCATGGATGGATTAAGTAAGCAACAATGAAGTCTTAAAGAAAATGGCAACAGAAGAAACACTTAGACTCAGGAAAAAGCAGCCGAAATTTCTTGGGTACATTAATGACGAAGAAGGGCTTAGAAAACTTAACCCATACGGGTCATATTGAGTGACAAGAGAGGCACTTACCTGATGAACTCGTGCGAATGGATGATGAAACAAGAGCAGGGGCCATAGGAAAAAGAGAAAATCTGCTTAGAGCCATACGAAATAGGAAGTTGTGGAGAGCCACGAATACCTATGTCCTGAAGGGACGAGGCACATAGAAGAAAATGAATGAATTTTACTAAACCAGAAAAGAAAGTGCTACTACTATAAATGATTTTCCAAGCGTAGCTTAGATGTGGCACAAGGCCGAAAGTATGGGGCACCCAGTGAGGATCGAACTCACTTTTCAGTAGTAACTGATCTAGCAAGACAAGGTTGCTAACCGTTACACCACGCATCATCACTAAAACTACTACTGCCACTATTACTACTAGTATTACTACTAATAATAATGTTTTATTATTATGGAACTGAACTATAAAGAGCTAACCGCTTGATGTACGTACAGAATGTCATTATTCGTATATAAAAGGCACAGGAAATTTTGGGCCATTTCTTTGTGTCATCAAATACAGTATTTCATTTCATTGATTCAGCTGAAATTATTTACCGATATAATTCTCGATTTGATTAAGCGCCTTGCCGTGGAGTAATGGTTAATAAGCTAATCTATCAGATTGAAGTGCGTTCGCTTGTCATCGGTTTAAGAGAAATTGAATAAATGCAGTAAAGTCGGGCAATGAAGTAACACTTACATTTAAATTTTGCACTCAAATGTTGTTTTTTTTATTTTAATTTTTTTTTTATTGCGGTCCATGAATGTCACCACTCCCTCGAATATCTCTAGTTATTTTCTGCACTAATTAGATTTTGTGTGGGAAAAATTGATGACTAAACTAAATTGGTAGGATTTTCCTTTTATTTTAAGTTAAAATGTGATATGCTTTATTATTTCCGACCTGTATACTCGTCGTTTTTTTTATTCACAATGATTCATTTGCTAAACTCGGATCTGTTTTTTGATTTACGAAGAATACCCTCAATCCACCTTCCATTTTCAGGGGAGATAACTCGCATCAGTTAATATCTGTCTTATCCTGAATAACAGCGAAAGGACACTTATCCACTTCCACCAATTGAGTACAGACATTGGGTTTAAATCTCCAAAATTAATTACTGGATTGTCCAAGAGACAGGATCAACTTAAAACAGTTTCCTGGCAATTGAGAGTTTGATTCTGGTAGTCATATATTCTGGGTTAATGAAAGACACAGAGTAATGACACAAAAAGAAAAGACATGAGTATTAACTAATGGAAAATATCCCCTAAGCATGGAAAGCGAGAAGTGAACAATCTAACCACGGGAATTGGAATAAAAGATTATCGATCACGATAACAGACGCCTACAAAAGGCATGAAAGTACAACGTCCAGAACTAGTATTTTTATTTTTATTGTTTCAATTACATTTTTTTTTTCGTCTTCTTCTTTGGCTTTTTATCATTATATATTCTCCGGCATTAAAGTTTAGCTGCGGGACTTGAGAACAAAAAAGACGGAACGAACTTTTGTTCCATAATACGAGAGCCCCTGAAATTAGCAAGCTCTGAAACATAACGGCTAAAAAAAAAGCCATAGGAATAAAGATATATTTCTTCATTCTTATATTGCCCCGCCCGCTTTTGTTCTTCTCTTTATCTCTGTGCGCGCATACATACACGTGCATATATATATATATATATATATATATATATATATATATATATATATATATATATATATAAAGAGATAGTTAAAGATCAAATGCAGATCAGATTTTATTAAAGCTTCGTCAGAGATGGAGAAAAATCTCTGACGAAGCTTTTAATAAAAGTGAAACATGTTAGATTGACATACGTTTCCTATTTGTTCTTTATTTTCACACACACACACACACACACACACACACACACATATATATATATATATATCCTATTTGCTCTTTATTTTGTTTATATATATATATATATATATATATATATATATATATCCTATTTGTTTCTTTATTTTGTATATATATATATATATATATATATATATATGTATATATCCTATTTGGTCTTTATTTTGTCATATATATATATATATATATATATATATATATATATATATATATATATATATATATATATATTTGTATATATATATGTATGTATATATAAATTTAAAAGAAAAACAGACCACTTTAACGTACCATTATAATAATTTATTTCACCTGAGCCCTTTTAAAGGACGCCGGATTATCAGATAGCACTTCCAAAAATGAAATGAAACGAAAAATTATAAAATTCAATTCATTTGTTAGCCTTGTATGAAGATCTTTGTAGTCATTCATACTTTGTCAAAGCTTACAGAGAAGACCAATGTGTACTACGCCCGAACCTCCGACCGGGGTTGGGAGGCATAATAGGGGATAAGGGCAGTGTTTTGTGACCATCGCTGTTTTATTAACATTTGCTTTTTTTCTGTTTGGCTCTTTTTCTTTTGTCCAAAACCGTGAATTTGTTTTGCTCATGTCAAGTCTCGAAAAACACTATATAAAATTTGCTTTTTTTCTACTAAGTTCTTTTTTTCTTTCGTCTAAAATCGTGAATTTCTTTTGCACATACTAAGTCTCGAAAAAACACTATATAGTATTTGTTTTTTTCTACTGGGGGCTTTTTTTTTCGTCCGAAACGAAAAAAATTGTTTTACCTATGCCAAATCTCGAAAAATTATGACGTGTCTCTAATTTGCATTTAGATACAATGTATTTATTTTCAGTTTTTCTAGTTGAATTGTTCGCCTATATTGCATATGATCCATTATTGTCCATAATTAGTTTACAATAAATTTTGTATTTCATATGAATCCTACCTTAGGAAAACTGAGATCTAGTAAAAAGGGGGATCCGTAAAATAGATTCGTGGGGCTATATCATAGATTCGGTGTATGTCAAAGATTCGATGGGAGCATGAGATCCTTGGAATGGTTCTGCTTACAGATAAATCACATTCAGAGTTGTCCTTCCCCTAGTCTGATTGCTAACCGTGGCTACAGAGTCCTGACTTCCCTACTATTTACCCATAGTTGGAGGTTCTGAATTCAGTTTTTCTTCTCCTAGACGGGATGCCACGCAAGGCTATAGAACTCAGTAAGTCCTGCTATTTGCCCACAGCTGGTTGGGGGGGGGGGAGAGCAGGTGGATTCATACCTTACGGCCACATAACGTTGAAACACCGGTTCTCGTACGATCCTCGAAGTTAAGTAACGTCGGGCCTGGTTAGTAACTAGATGGGTGATCGCTTGGGGATACCAGTTGCTGTTAGCCTAAATATGCGAGTGGTGTAGTGGATGATGGCTCGGAATTTTTTAATCGGAGAGCCGAATTCTAATTCCCGTTAGGTTTGTTATATTCATTTACGCGCAAATACCATTGCGAAAAATATGAATCCACTTCTTCTCCCCTAGTATGGGTTAACTAGTAAAACTTGTATCACTGTACCATTATAATCTCAAAAAGAATTCTTACAATTTAAAAATATTTTCTGGCTTCAAAGAACCTGCAAACGGTTGGCAAGACCTAAAAATCGAATCATTGTTGAGAAATTTAACGTTTTGACATGTCATGAAAAGAAAAAATATAACGGATATTAACACCATATTTAGAAGAATTGTCAAAAATCTGTATTACACAAAAACTTTATAGACATTGCCTATATGCAGTAAAAAAAGAACCTTGGCTCGCAATGGTCTCTCATAAGTAATGTTCAAGCAGATATCAGGTAACCATATCAACGCTATTATATATCTGTAAGGTTTTCTTTATGATTTGTTGGAGACGGAGACAGACTTTTTAAAAAAACAAATATACTTTTTTCCATCATCGTCTGCCATAGTGAATTCCAAAACCAGTCAATGGACAAAGTCCAAATGGAATGCCGACAAGGAGATAACGCGCTGTAGTCATGTGTCCTCGACTTGAATAAACAAATCGTAGTGTGCGGCTCCATTATATCATTGGAGGTAATACATTTAAAAGTATAAGTTTAACTAGATTGCCGAAGAAAGCAAATAACCTTGACTGAGGAACAAAGATCTAGACATAGTGTCACTTTACTGGATTATTTGTTGAACTCATATCTATTAATGTATTGCACCTATAAGCATGTGTATGTGCGTAGGGATATTTGTTCAATTGCACGCACGTTTTAATATCTATCTATCTATCTATCTATCTATCTATCTATCTATCTATCTACACACACACACACACACACACACACACACACATATATATATATATATATATATATATATATATATATACATGACAAATTAGAAAAAGACTTCGTGTAATGCGTTTCGAACTTAGAACTTCATCGGACTATTTTATTACGTTGATGCGACTACGCATGCGCACGAACGAGAGACACCGGGGATTTTAAATTAAAAAACAAATAAAGATGATGGAAACAATAAGAAAAATAATCTAAATGAAAATGGTGTAGATTATATACCCCCAAAACAGATATTAAAAATCTTCCTAATTAAAAATTCCAAGCGGCTCTTGTTCGTGCGAATTAACATAAACAAATCTAATTCGATAAAGTCCTAAGGAACGAAACGTATCAAACGAAAACTATTTTCACATTGTCATATATCTTTAATCTTGATATACACAAATTTATATATCATTATTCTGTTTATCGTCATTTTTTATAGATACAAACATTTAAGTAAATGCTCTGTTTATAAAATGACGTTGAATGTAAAATTTTATTCTACATTCAACATCATCACTTGATAAGACACTGGAGGTGTTGAAACAAAATAGCTATTTTTGTAGTGATTTTCTAACATATTTATGTTATAATTTTTAAATAAATAATAATGTCTGCTCTACTCTATATTGAGCACTCTTTTAAGAATAGTAATTGCTGGTTATTGGAATTTATTCCGTATACATCAATCCTATACTTGATATATATATATATATATATATATATATATATATATATATATATATATATATATATATATATATAATACTTTTTTACAAAATTTGTGGGCAGGTTCCTCACGCCAAAACAAGGATAAAAGTCCATATAAACAAAATCCGTCGTTATAGCTATTAAATTTAAAGTAAGTTTACTGCAAATGGCGCTGTGTTGCCATGTAGACTACGTTACACTTGTTATTCGTGTATATTCGTAGTTAGTCCGTGTTCAACATTTAAGGTGAGTGGTAGTGAGTTAACTGAGAAGTGTTTCGTTTAACAATGACAGGATATTCATATCATAAGTAGGTAGATATGATTTTTATATACGGCTACACGAATGGTAATCGATGCGAGGCTGCACGGCTGAATCAGATTGCGTCTCCAGACTAAAGGTAGCTTGTCTGCGAATGTGGAAGGATCCTGATGTGGGGGCCAAAGTCGGGACCACAGAAGTAAAACACGGAACACGGATTAGATGTAAGAAAGATATATTAACAACAGGTTACAGAGATAGTGTAAGCGGAGCTTACTATATGTTAGTGTCCAATACTGGTAGTCGTACGCGACTGTCACTGTCTCTCTATCTCCCTGTGTCACTCTCTGTCACTCTGTCACTATCTAGAGTGCTATGTCGCCTACTTAATATAGGCCTGGAAGAGTCTATTGTGTAGGTAGTTTCCGGTCTCACAATACCCACCTTCCAAAGAGTTTTCTTTTTGAAAAGGAGAGAAAAAATAAAACTGTTAATACTTGTTCCTCTTGGGATTTACATCGAGCGGTTGAGTAAATTTCCTTTTCCTTCCTGGGCGTCGCACTTCAGGAGAGACTTGAGGCATGTCGAGATCGAAGTAGAGATCTTGATGCGTGAGCCACAGCTTTTCGCGAATCATCTGGCAGTTTATGTAAACTGCAAGCACCAATGCCATACGAGCTTGCATCACTGGCGACTATGATGTCGAGACTAGGGTCGTAATGGGTGAGGGAGAGGTCCGAAGTAAGAGTTTTCTTGATCTTCTCGAATGCGTCTTGGCATTCCGGGGTCCATGACCATGGTTTATCCTTTTTTAAGAGTTGGCTGAGAGGCCCTCTCAAATTTTGCCTGTTCTTAATGAACCCCTGGTAAAAGTTAGCTAGGCCGAGGAAGCTTTTTAACGTTTGAACGTTATCTGGGACCGGCATGTTTCTGATCGCGTTGGCTCGTATTTGATTGGACTTCTTTTTTACGTAGACCGTAGGTGCTGGCCACTCGCTGAAATCTGTTTTTGACAGCTTGTTCGAGTCTATCTAACTCTTTGTTGATTTGCTCTAGAGCAGCGAAAGGGACATTCCGTTTCTTTTTGAATACCGGTTGTGCACCGTCCTTCACCTTGAACTTAGCTATCATTTTAGTATATTTCCCAAGGCCGCCAGAAAAAAACCTGGGGCAATTGTTGTTCCTTTTTTAGATTTACCAAATTGGACGTTGTACTTTGTATCTTGCGACAAAATGTACTCATTGGGCAATTCCAAAGATTGAATTTTTCTATCCAATCAGTTCCAAATAAGTTGTCTGAAGTTTTTAATACGTAGGCTTTGAGCTTTTTGGTAACTCCATTTAGTACTACTGTAAGTATTATCTCGCCTAAAATGTTAATCTTTTCGCCAGTTACGGATTTTGCTGTTTTATCCGTTTTTAATAAGGTCGGCTTGTTCAATTTTCGCCAAGTATGCCAGTTAATGTTTGAAAGATTGGAACCCGAGTCAAGCTAGAATTTAATGGACTTATTGAAAATATCCACAGTTACATATTTTCTTAAATTCCTATCGACAATATTGTCAGATTGAGCTTGCCTAATTTTATTTTTGGGTTTCTCGTTCTGTTGGCGTATCAGCACGAAGTTAATGTATGACCACTTTTATTGTAATTTTTGCAATATTTTTGTTCTTAACTGGACAGAATTTCATCCAATGCCATTTACCACAATGGTAACATGGTCCGGGCGGTTTCTTAAACCTATTTGGGATTTGGTTACTGCGTAATTTAGGACATGAGATTTGCCTTTTGTCTTTTTGAGGAGAATAGGAGGTAGACTTGCTTCTTATTTTATTAATCTGAGCCACACCTGATTCCTCGATAGTGTTTGAGTCACGCTTTACAGATATTACTCTTTGACAGTCCTCTGCCAGTTTTTGGAGAGTCAATATTTGTTCGTTCTCAAGCTTGGTCAGTACCCGTCGTCTGACTTCGGCGTCTTCTGCTGATACTAGACCATGTGCGAAAATCAAGCACTTGAAATCATCGGCAGTCAGTTCGGCTAGTTTAAAATCATTACAGAGCTTGTTTACCGATGCTGCAAACGTTAGAAAATCTTGCTGGTTGTCTTTGACTGTGTTCAGGCATTTCCAACGTTTGTAGAACAAGGTTGTGTTAGGCCCGAATAGTTCTGATAGGAGCTTAATAGTCTCTGAAAAATCCAAGTCAGTCGTTTTCTTGGGTAGTATGAAGTCTACGAACCTACTATGTCCTGTAGTTTCTAGTTTTCTCAATAGTAGACGTACCTTTTTTTTACTGGGCCATTGTTCACAGTCTACGTTGAAAATATCTTCGTAGCGCATGTAAAATGCCTCGAACGTTTTGCCGTTCTCTGGTACGTATTCAAAGGTTTCTATTGAATTGTAGATTGTACTCTGGGAGAATATTGTATCTTTTTCAGAGTTTGAGCCTTTTAATGCATTTACGAGTAATTCTTTAAGTTGTTTCTGTTGTAGTTCAGCATTCTGAAGCGTAATTTGTTGGAATTCCCTTTGTTGTTTATGTAATTCCAAAAATAGTTGTTGTTGTCTTTCTTCTGATTTTTGTTGCTGATCCAAATTTAGTTTTAACATTTGGGCAATTACTTTTTGCAAATCTTCCATATTTAGGCAGACAAATGACAGCGATTTTTTTTTGCTTTGAAACACGTGTACTAAGAGGAGGTACACAAAAAATCTTGGATAGATTTTTGTTCCCTTTTTTTTTCTTTTACAGAAAAAAATATGGACAGACAATAGTTAAACTAAACTAATTATGTGTGTTTATCTTTTTTCCCGTAAAACACGGAACACGGATTAGATGTAAGAAAGATATATTAACAACAGGTTACAGAGATAGTGTAAGCGGAGCTTACTATATGTTAGTGTCCAATACTGGTAGTCGTACGCGGCTGTCACTGTCCCTCTATCACTCTATGTCACTCTCTGTCACTCTACGTCACTCTCTAGAGTGCTATGTCGCCTACTTAATATAGGCCTGGAAGAGTCTATTGTGTAGGTAGTTTCCGGTCTCACAATAAATCCAATTGAAATTA